CTCCTGTTATCATTTGTAATAAAAAAACAGTAGTTGTGGATATTGAATATTGAAAGTGAAAACGTGCTTTCGCAAAGGCTGCCGAACAACGAAAAATACCAACCATAATTGAGAAATTCCCAAGACGGACAACAATTTCATTGGCATTATAGAATTGTTGTCAGCGGTTGTTGGTGTCGTTGTTGCTGTTGCTGTTGTTTTTGTGGCGCATTTTAATTGATCCAGTATTTGGAACAATTACAACGAATGGTGATATAGGGGTTAGGCAATTGAATGGAACGCCATAATAAAAATGCTTAAGCAAACACTCAGCGGGAGGGACATTATCATCATCATCATCATCATCATCGTTGTAGTCGTTGTCATTGTCGTTATCGTGGTCATTATAGACATCTTGACAACACTAACAACAAACCACTCATTGATAATTTCGAAAAATCTTCACAAGAAAGAAGAACAATAACAAATTAATTTATCGAAATAATAACAATACTTGAGTAACAATCTAGAAATGCGAATGCATGTATATCAATTGGGAATTTAAAGGGTATCAAAATATTAACCCATATTTTGTATTTAACCGATAACAACAATGTGGCAACGATAATTGGTCGATAAAAAACACTTTAGCATTTACTTAATTGCCTGAAGGCATTCATACTTTTTGAGATGCTAGAGAGAAATTTTATATTTTGCAAATTGAGATAAATTTTTCTCTTCCATTCAATATCCATAAATATTCGGCAAATATTTCGTTGGTGTATGTGCCACATTTAGCAGTACTAGTAATGATAACTACATACCCTCTGAATTACCAGTATCTTCCATATAATTACAACTACATACCCTTTGCATTACCAGTAAGCTAAAAAACAATTAGTTATATTGAAATCACCAGCAACCAATATTCAAACAAGTAAAAAAAAGCTGTAAGTTCGGCCGGCCAGAACTTTGTATACCCTCCACCATTTGGAATAAATTTGGGAATTTTCAAAAAAAAAAAAAAAATCAATAAATAAAAAATCTCACAATTACCTAATATAGCCGTTATATTGAAGTCTATAGGCAACTTTTGTCCTAGACCATTACAATATTCAAATACGAAATTTAAAAAATCCGGTGAATAATGTAGTTAAAATCATCAAAATATCGCATGTAGGGAGGTACCGATATATGGCGGCTATACGAAGTCCTGGACCTGCATAAACAATTTTCTGTCACAGACTGTACTCCCCATTAGGAACTTCTTATGAAATTTCGGTGAATATTGCATCTAAAATCGTCAAAATACCGAATATCGAAAGGTACCGATTTATCGGGCTAAACGAAAACTCGGACTTTTTAACTTCAATACGAAATTTTAAACAATTTCGGTGAATATTATGCCTAAAATCATCGAAGTCCCGAATATCGGGAGTACCGTTTAATGGCAGCTATACCATATCATGGACCTATATAGACCTATAACATCTTGTTTGGATTTTCAGACAATTCCATTGAATAATGTAGCTAAAATCATCAAAAATACCGAATATAGGTGGGTAACATTATGTGGGGGATATACGATATCGTGGACCTATATAGACAATACTCTTCCAGGGGGTAAAGTACTCAGAAGGAACTCCTTGTGTGGATTTCATTTTCATTAAAAAATATGGCTACAATCATCAAAATACCGAATAACGGGGGTACCGTTATATGGAGGCTATATGATGTCGTAGACTTGACCTGCCTGCATACAAAAGACTGATCTGGGCAAAATGTTAGCTTCCTTTCTTTATTCGTTTTGACTCTAGCGTGATTACAACAGCCAGACAGACCGACCGACATGGCTAAATCGTCTTAGAATTTTACGCCGATCAAGAATATATATACTTTGTCAGGTTTAAAAATAGTTTTTTCGATAAGTTACAAACGGAATGACGAACTTAATGTGCCCCCCATACTTTGTATGGTGGAGGTTATAAAAATAAACCCAAAAATTTCGTCTCTTGCGCTGCACTGTTTTTGAAGTTATCTTTAAAATGAATTTGTTTGTTTTTATATGCTTTGTTTTATATTTGACCTAATAAACTAGTTTCAAAGCATGTCAATGCACCATAGAATGTCATACACATATATGCGTTCGTACGACAAGAATTGAAAGTTTCCAGGGTGACAGATTGTTCACTTCTTAGTTGTCGTTTGATAAGAATTTATAAATTGTAACCACCGCAAGGGTGGCACACATCTGCGTTAATAATTTTTTATGTTAGTTTTATGAGATTGAAAAAAATCATAAATAAAAAAATTTCTGTCATGAATGAATGAATTTTATATTAATTAATTTTAAAAATGTTTTGCACTTTGTATGAAACTCAATTACAGTTATTCTGAGCTGTTTTAAGTGATGCTAAAGTCCATAATGTTTTCGCTTTCTTTTCATCGATTGCAAGCAGCATTTGTTTTCCTTTACTCCATTATTCCGTTTATCTTTGGTTTAATAAACACTCTGATATTTTTTTTCGAAAAATTTACTGATTTTGGAAAATTATTATTTTTCTTGGGAAAAATTACCAAATTCCCTCGAGAACTGGAAGATTTTTTTACAATAATAATTACCATGAGCTTTCCAATGATGCCAATGCTGTCGCGGCAGAAGTTTTGTGAAAGGCGCAATTGACCATTGAATTATCCTTGTCCAAGGATCCTTCCACAAGTTGGCAAATATCTCGAAAACTGGCAGAATAAATACAAATACCCTGGAAAATTGACAGTTTTTTTACAATTTCCTTTTGCGAAATTTCCACCTATACCCATGTTTTCCCGGCAGAATTTTTGTTCATAGCGGAATTTTTCCTTTTTTTTAAGGATACCCTACAAATAACCATATACCTCGAAAAATGGTTGCATTGTTTATGCCCTCAGAACTGGCAGATTGTTTTTACAATTTCCCTTTGCGAATGAATAATAATTTCCATGAGCTTTCCAATGGTGCCCATACTGTCGCGGCAGAAGTTTTGTGAAAGGCGCAATTGACTATTGAGTTATCCTTGTCCAAGGATCCTTTCACAATTTGCCAAAAAATCTCGAAAACTGGCAGAATAAATACAAATACCCTGGATAATTGACAGTTTTTTTAAAATTTCCTTTTGCGAGTGGATAATAATCTACATGTGCTTTACACCTATACCCATGTTTTCCCGGCAGAATTTTTGTTCGAAGCGGAATTTTTCCTTTTTTTAAGGATACTCTACAAATGAGTATATACCTCGAAAACTGGTTGCATTGTTTATGCCCTCAGCCATATAGCTACAACGGTTTTAGACCCTAGGTCTCTTTGGACCAAATCCATTCCAGGACATTTGGTGTCGATCTAACGATGTCCGTCCGTCTGTCTGTCTGGTTCCGATTTGATCCAAACTTGGTACATCGTAATATTATTGTCAAACTTAGATCGAGTTCGGAGATGGGCAATATCGGCCTACTCTACTCTGATCAGGAAGAGAAAGGATAGTCCGATTTTGCTCCAACTTTGCAAATTCTAAAATTTGCATCAGTGCTAGGTCAGGTGCGAAAATGGACAATATCGGTCCACTCCATCAAGTACCTCCCCCACAAAGGGTCAACATTTGGAATAATTATAACTGTTATAAAATGTGATGTAAGGGTCCGATTGTCCGATTCAAATTACACACATCACAATATTTTTATTAATCCAAGTTCTAGTGTGAATATAGAATGTATCGGTCCACTCCTTCTGGTACCTCCCCCTCAAAGGGTCAAAATTTTGAATATTCATGGAGCTCATAAAACACGAAATCAACATACAATTCCATTCAGACTTGCCACATCTCAATATTTCCGTCAATCTGTTGTAAAGATGATAAAGGTCGGACCATTCCTTCTGGTACCTTGCCACAAAGGGTCAACATTTTGAATAACCAAAACGTCATAAAATCCGAAATAAGCATCCGGTTCTCTTCAAATTACGCACATTACAATATCTTTAATAACCCAAAGTCTGGTGGGAAGATGGTATATATCGGTCTACTCCTTCTGGTACCTCCCCACAAAGGGTCAATCATCCATGAAGCTCATAAAAGGCGAAAAAACGTCCGATTCCATTCAGACTTGATACATCTCAATATTTCCATCAACACAACAACTGTTATAAAGACGTTAGAGATCGCACCATTTCTTCTGGTAACTCTCCCACATGGGGTTCAAGATTTTGAAAAACAAAACGCTCATAAATCGCGAAAATTGGCATAAAATTGGATATAAATATTATCATTATCAAATTATCACATATCTCATATAAAGTGAAGGAAGTAGTACATATAGTCCAAACTTGGAACGTCGCAATATTTATATCATATTTAAATAGGTCCGATACAAAATGGTCAATATTGGCCCATTCCTTCGGAAAGTGCGCCATAGAGGGTCAGCAATTTGAATAACCATAACTGAAGTCGAAATATATTGTTATCATCGAAAATTGGCTGAGGGTATACATCTGTCGGCAAAATCGACTGATACATTTTAGCTTCTTTAAAATCTAATATGGCGAATGGAAAGGATCTTCCTTAAACTTTTCACTGACCAGCTACAATTTTTGTGAAAGTCGTCATAATTTATAGAGGTATCCTTTTCTAAAAATGTTCAAATAACTTGAAAAATGGCGGAATTTTATATTGCCAATGCAAAGTACCCTCAGTTTGCTTTCATAGCCATATTGTCCCGGCCAGAGGTTCTTCAATTTAAATTCGGAATTTATCTTAACGTGCCTAATTTTTGTACCGGGTTTCAACCCATGGAACTTGTACTTTTCAATTTGAAAGTTCCATATTTTAAAGAACATTCTATTCTTTCATTCCTCTTTTTTGAGTTCCAGAATAATCCCTTATAATTTTTATTATTCAATATTCGGCAGATGCTATAATTTATAAAATCCTTTTAAACCCCAAAATTTTAAGTGATTCTACCATTAAAAATTTCTCTTGTTTTCCATTTTCCAGATAATAACAATGTCCTCGTCGCCGATGGTGCTGGAATGCAGCCCGGCGAATATGCCACAAATAACGCCATGCAACCATGTGAATCGATTACAAATCTTAAAGAAGATATTCCACAGCAGCAACATATTGTTGAAAATGTTGGACAAGATTATCAACAGCAGCAGCAAATACAAGGCGTTGAGATCTCCACAGCTCCTATGCAGATGGACAACTATAACGCCAAAAACAATAAAATACTTATGACCGAGGTCCATGCATTACAGGATAATGTGCCAAAACCGACACAAATAATAACAACAACATCATCAGTGGCGGTGGCCAATGTTGATGTGGCAATCGAAACTAATGCCATGCAACAAACTATCGTACAGCAGCAGCAGCAGCAAACGTCACATACCTTTGTTGCAGCAACTCAAACTCAAAGTGTTCCTCAGCAACAACAAGTGCAACCACAACAACCTCAAAATTATAAACAGCAGCAACAACAACCCCAATCCCAACAATACCAACATCAACAACTGCAAACTCAGCCTCAACCTCAGCAGCAACAACAACAGCATCATCATCATCCTCAGCAGCAACAACAACAACAATCATATAATCAACACCAACAACAAACACACTATCACAACTATGATAATCGCAAGTCCTATAGTACTCAACAACAGCAGTCCCGACGTAATAATAAATATGACCATCACAATGATGGTTCATCGCAGCAGCAATCGCAACAACAACAACAGCAGCAGCCAACAACGAAAACCATGTCCTGGACCAATTCATCACAACACAAAAAATCCACCAACACTGTGGCGGTAACTGCAACACCTTCCTTGACCCACAATCCGGGCTACAACAAACAATCGAATTCATCGACCAATTCTTCGTCTACCTCTACCCATAGTCATGGCACTCGGACCTATACCAACCAACAGCATCATAGCTACCAACAGCAACAACAAACAACACAGACACGTAACTATGGAGCCATGAAAATGCCTTCTTCTCCTGTCGCCTCTGGCACAGCGGCAACAGGGCCAGGAGCAACGAATTCATCTACTATGGAACGCAAAAGCAGTCAATCATCATCCGGTGATCATGCCGGTAAGACGCATCAGGCCACAACATCAACGGCATCAATAACCGCAACGCCCCATCAATTCCAACAAACTGCGGCAAATGAATCGGCCAATACGGCTAAACAACAAAGGAAATCAAGTGCCGCACAGCAGCAACAACAGCAGCAAGGAGTTGCCAGCCCCAACACAACTGCCTCCACAAACCCCTCAGGTCCAGCAAACGAGACTAGCACACCACCTATAAATTTGGCACCACCAGCCTCAGCAGCCGCCCAGGCAGCACCTTCAACGCCATCATGGGCCAGTCTGTTTACAGCAAGTGCTGCCTCTTCGGGCCCTGCCAGCTCTCCGGCTGCTGTGTACACAACAAATCAAAATACATTGGCGGCAAACAACAACACTCTCCCCTCAAACTCAGCCGCCACCACCACTGCCAATTATGCCCAGAAACCAATTGCAAAAGTTGCTCCCTTTGAGAGTGTTGCCTCTACGGCCACACCGGCCGTAACACCTGGTGCCTTGTCATATTCAGCTGCTTCGGCTCAGAATCTACCACCACCACCGTCCTCTAACGCCACCAATTCATCCGCTGCTCTGGCAACTGTAGCCGGTGGCAACAGGAAGATCACAAATTTGGCCAATCTCGATGAGTATTCATTGAAATTTGCCGATTTCCTAACCAAATACAAGAGTGATTGGACCACAATCAGTCTGAGACCCAGAGGCCTTACAAATCGTTCGAACTATTGTTACATTAATTCGATATTGCAAGCTTTGCTTGGCTGTTCGCCGCTATACAATTTAATGCGTTCCATACCCAAACAGGCGGCCACTTTGTGTGAAGTGAAAACACCCACAGTCAATGCAATGTAAGTATTGGAAATGGTCGGGACTGCGGGATTTCAAACAATACTTCTTAAATGTCACAATTAAGTCAGCAGCAGGAAGACTTGTTTAACCACTTCTTGCTTGCTTTACATTTGTGATAGAGGAAAAATAAAAGAAAAGATTTTCTCGAAACTTGATGGGGATCTACCGTTTTGGTAGTCTTTTCTGGTGATTCGGGGAAAAGTATTTCTTAGGCATTTTAACAGCTACATTTGGAATAGACCTCTTTTTTATGAATTATTCCAAGGCTGTTAAAATGGATAGTTTCTTTTGAAAACAGTTGGTTTTTAAAAACATATAAAAACTTCAACCCATAACACTGTGCGACAAATAAGCATTTTCCATAATTTCAGCAAAATCCCAGTGGATTATGAAAGTGAATCTAAAAATTGACTCCAGTTTCAAATTTTTTAATATTTTAGGATTAAAAGTTCTTGAAACCCTTACATGTAAGGTAAGGCCTTCGGCATTATTTCAGATAACAATTCGAGGATTGTTTTGGTAGAAACAATAAAGAAGCAGTTAATTTTGGCCACACTTTGTACCGGGCCGAAATGTTTATACCCTTCACCATTTGGAGGGTATATCTTTAAATTCCTAAATTCCAGTATTTGAGGGTTATGCGTCACTTCAGTTATTAGGAATATCCAATTCAAAGTTTGAAAAATTGGCTACAATTATGTAAATATCGGGAGGATAGGGGCTTTAGAAAAACGTTGGCTTATATAGAAATTGTACAATATAAGCAGAAGAACACATTACGGAATCCAAAAACTGAATTTTAGGTAGTTCCGTTAGAAAATGTGTCGTCAAAATACAGAAAATCGGGAAGTACCTTTATTTGGGGCTATAGGAAATCGTGGACCTGTATAGACAATGTGCTGCCACATGAGGTAGAACATATTATGAACTCTAAATATCAAATTTTAAACTATTCCGTTAGAAAATGTGGATAAAATCGTCAAAAAATCGATTATCGGTGGTACCTTATATTGACAATATTATGCCACAGGAAGAGGTTATTTCGTTTGAAAATATTGCTAAATTGGTCAAAATTGCGAAGAATTATATGGACACTATACGAAAAAGGTCTTTTTGGACGTTTTTTTTTTCAAAAAATGGTTTAAAACTCACATTGACAGGATCCGGAATAAGTCAAATTAATTCAAAATTATTTGTGATAAAATTCTATTATAGGTCTTAGAATACTTACCTAAATATCAGGAATTTATGAATATTTAAAACAATTTTTTGGGTCAAAGGGTTCTCCTAAAAACATAATTTTAGAGTGATGACATCAAAGGAAAATTGTTTTTGGGTTAAAGTCGTACTTCTCTTAAAAACATAATTTTAAAATGATGACGTCAAAGGAAAATTGTTATCATTAAATTTCACAACAAACCACCAAAGAGAATAAATCTATATGAAGTTCCTATTATGTTGAAACCCTAATTAAATTAATTTTTAATTCCCTTTCAGGATGTCATTTATGTCCAATTTCTCCAATTTGCCAAGTGGCCTTCGCCTGCGTACCGCCAAAGGTGGTAAAGGCAGCAACAACAAAGATGACTTAGCACAAGAATTGCAATGTGATCCTGCCTTTGAACCCACTGAAATCTACAAACTGTGGAATGATAGTCGCGAGGAGCACGTCGAAGGACGTCAAGAGGATGCCGAGGAATTCCTTAGCTATATCTTGAATAAGCTCAACGATGAGATGTTAGAGGTATGTTTCCATTTTTTTTACTTTTAAGCATTTATATTATATTTTTTATAAACATTTCCCTTTTGTAGGTTGTAAAACTAATTGCCAAACAAAATCCAGAACAAAATGGACAAAATGATCAATCCGAAGGTGAGGATGGTGATGTATGGCAGGTAAGTGCTACATTTATTTATGGAAAGGAATGTTTTATTTAAATCCTTCTTATTTTACAGATGATATGCAATAACCGCAATAAGGGCAGCGTTACACGCCAAACCGATTTCGGCTGCACTCCACTGAGTGATATATTCCGTGGGGAACTTAGATCACGCTTGCAGCGTGAAGGTGAACATCCCACTGATGTTATACAGCCTTTCCTTACACTGCCTTTAAATATTGAGGTATGTTACTTTAAAACTATTAACAATTAAGTTTGGCATTAAATTATTTCAATTCAAAGGGGTTTTTAATATTTCAAATCATGCCAAGAGTGGCCTTAATTAACGAATTTAGGTAAAATTTATAAAATAACAGCCCCTATAGTATCGCCACTACAAAAGTTAAAAATGTGGCAATAACAAATGTCGGTTATGCCGACAGATGTATACCCTCAGCCAATGTTAGATGATTTAAATATATTTTGACTTCTGTTATGATTATTCAAATTGTTAACGCTCTATGGAGTAGTTTCCAAGGAATGGGTCAAGCTCAAAATTTTGAAAAATAAAATTCCCTTAAAGCAGGAAGTTAATATTCCAATCACTAAACCATTTGCTGACGCTTGTTATTCTTTGGTTATTTCTACAGGATGTCTATGACATCCTGCAAGCAAGAGTTAAATGATTTTAATTACTATAATTGCCATTCGGTTTGCAACATCTTGACATATTCCTCAGGTACAATATAAGTGTATTCTTGATCAACATTGTATAGAGGATTAACCAATGTACGTCTGTTTCTTCAAATTTTAATTAGAGCTTTGAATTAGGTACAAAAGTCACTTTTAGGATGTTTGCCCGATAAATGGGTTTCCTAATCAATTGTGGCCATCGTTACTACTTATAAATCAACCGAAATCAGTAGAAAAACATTCTGAATTATAATTGTTATATTTTGCGGTCTTCGAGTCACGAAATTGCGGCATTCAGTTTTTTGTCGAACAAGTGCACTCTGCGTCGACATTACGCATTACTTAAAAAAGTTATCACATGTCCTGGCGGACATACATTTGAGCGCGCTCTGGACTAAAGTTATTGAAAGAAGACGTCTTAACAAAATTCCTTAACTGTTTAATTTCAGTTGCCATAATCTGATTAAGGAGTCATCCTCTAAGAATTAGGATCTGATATTTGCAAACGCTGGGCATTGACAGAGAAAATTCTACAACGTTTCATCATCTTCCCCGCATACCCTGCATGTGCTGTTATCTACAAAACGTGACGCATTTAATGACTTTGGACTGTCCAAGTTTACTGTTGATAATTCCCTGCCTGTTTTGTCAAGAGAGTTCGCTATCTCGTTACCTCTAATCCCCGTATTGAGAATAGTTGTTAATTGAATTTATACATTCCAATGCAGTTTTTTAATTTTACTGTCTAGGATGTTATAACTTTTGTTTCGATCTTACTGTCCGTTAGGACGTTTACTGTAGCCGTTCTCGTGTTGGCATTAAGCAAGTTCAGATACGTTGCAATCGCCTCGATCTCCGCTTGAATTATCGTATAATGATCGGGCAAGCGAAAAAAATTAATGGTTTTTCAGTAAAAAGACCCAGACCGGCTCTCCTATTCGGAATCCAGTATTTTGTATGTGCCACCAAAGGGTCGTTTTCGAAGCTTTCATAGTTCTGGTCGGATCAAGCAGTATTGAATGGATTTGTGGGGGATGCTGAACACGAAAAGACGGATAGGTAGGTTGCAAAAAACCATTTGCAATAAGCTGAGGCCTGAGTCGCTTCTCAGCTAACAATGTGTATGATGCATAGAACAAAATATATTGAGGACGGGCTTTTGTTAAATGCTTGTCTGGAAGAGTAGCCAACAAAGCAACTTCTATTTTATAAAGTTCTCCCGGACTTGATAGCCCCAGCTGTGATTGTTGTTCCGAAGCATTGATCCAATTGTTGAGGGATTGTATATATTTTTGTGTGTTGTTTTGCATCTCTCGCCGATCTTTCTTCTTCATTTCTTTGATCACCTTCTGGTTGATTGCTACCACAAAGGGTATCGATCCAGTCATTAGGCAAAGTCTGCGACCCTTTATAAATATTTTTTTTTATAAAATTTGAACTCCCAAGATTGCCATCTAACTTTTTACTTTTTCTACTCTAACATCAATCGGTTTTTACCAGTTACCTTCTAATATGATTTGATGCCATTTCTTTGACAAAGACAAGGTGTATATCTCCGTATGTCTCTTCTCCATATCTTCAATAATAAAGCGTTCTATATTTAAAAATCGCAAATTTTTCTATAGCTAACAAAGTCAGCTCGAAGGATTTATGAGATTGGTGTTATTGCTTCACATTCTGCACTGTGTCTTTATCCCATCATTTCACACATATTCTGCAGTAATAGTATGGTTTTCGTTTTTTATATTCTGTTTCAGTTATTTTAATATTTTTAATATTTATGAAAGTATTTTGTCAAATTAAATACAAAAACAAAAAATATTGGCAAACGTTATTCAAATGTAATTCAAAATTCCTAGCACAATTATTAATAAATTCAATTTATAATATTAACTATTTTAATTTTACAGAAAGCTGCCTCGGTTAAAGAAGCCTTAGAAATCTTGGTCGGCCGTGACCAGCTGGAAGGTGTTACCGGAAGTAAAAGTAAACAAGAAGTCCTTGCATGGCAGCAAATGAATGTCGAAAAACTACCACCAATTTTAATTTTGCACCTGAAATGGTTTGACTACCGTTCCGATGGCTGCACAAAGATTTTGAAGAAAGTCGAATTTCCTGTTGACTTGAAAATTGATACCAGTAAGTAGCAACGGATATGCTCATATTTTTCGTCTATTAGAATATTTCGATTTCTAATGGAATGTTGTTGTAGGGAATTTATAAAAAGTAGCAGTACAATGTGTAATAAGATATTTGAAATCATAAACATTTTTCTGAAAAATATCTACTATATTTACATGTCGGTTTTATGTTGCCTATGCAGGTCCACGACTTCGTATAGACCGCAATATAACGGTGACTTCTCATATTCGGCGTTTTTAAGATTTTAAAAGAATTTTAAACGGATTTTATTTTTTAAAAATTTCCAAATTCGTTCCAAATGATGGAGGGTATTTAAAGTTCGGCCCGGTCGAACTTACTGCTTTTTTACTTGTTTAAATTGAAATGTACTATTTATACTTTACACCACACTGTGGTCAGGGTTTTTTTGTCTTTGTGCATTTGTTTGTACCAGGCAAAAGGAAACGAGATAGACCCATAGTTTCTTTTGATGATCTGCATAGAATTACATTCGATTTATGCATGTCCACCCGTTCGTACATACGTCTGTCCATGTATTTTTGTAAACAAAATACAGGTCGCATTTATTGTCCGATCCAGATGAAATTTTGCACAAATTATTTGTTCGGCCCAAGGACGAGCCCTATTGAAATTGGAGATAATCGGTCCGAATTGCCTTTTATTGTGCACCAAACGTCTATTATCATCCCAAATATATGGAATACGACCAAATTAGTCCTGAAAATAAAAGTGCCAAATTTGATTGAAATCGGTTCAGATATAGCTATAGCTCCCATATATATTGTTCATCCGATTTGTAATATTTGTCCTCCGCAGCCGTAATTTGCACTCTGTAACAACGATATTCAGAAATACCTTTTCCAAATTTTATCGAGATCGTATCAGATTTGGATATATCTTCGTTCGATTTGCCTTTTATTGTGCACTAAACGTGTAAAATTGATCCAAATGGGACGGAATTTGGCACTTGCGACCAAATTGAGTGTTTATACAAGTATGTCAAATCTGGTGAAAATCGACACAGATATAGCTATAGCTCCCATATATATTTGTCTTCCAATTTGTTATATTTGTCCTCCGCAGATCCTTTTCATCTTTTACTCACCCTAAATTATTCTAACCTTTCGATGGTTAATTTTTATAATTTTTTGCTTACAGAAATATTAGCATCCAAAAAGTACTCACAAAAACAACGAGCTTATCGCCTATTTGCTGTTGTCTATCACGACGGCAAAGAAGCTTCCAAAGGTCATTATATCACCGATGTTTATCACACTGGCTATGGTAGTTGGTTACGCTACGACGATAGCTCTGTAAAGTCAGTCAGTGAAAATCATGTTCTTTTGCCAAGGACACCACGTGTGCCTTATTTGCTCTACTATCGGCGCTGTGATACAATACCCCAGCAGAATAACAACAATAACAGTGGCGGTGGTGGTGGTGGCGGTAATTCATCATCGGGGGGAAACAATGCATCCGGGGGTCATAATACACCAAAATAAGCAAAAAAAATCACAACGACAGCAGCAAAAAGCAAACGGTAGCAGGAATAACAAAGAAAATGGAAAATGACAGTAATGAGATATTAAAAAAAGTAGCAGCAGCAACAATAACAACAGAAAAAAGATGAACAAGTGAAGTGAAAAATATGAGAGACAACGAGGAACAGCATCGAGCCACCATCTAGCCTCCCAGATCAAGCAGGCAAGCACATAACGTAATAGCATGTAGACCAAGTTGTAAACGTAAACATTTGGCAAAAGTGTGTATGGGAAGCCACAAAGGTGGGAGACATAAATACCAGGCAAACTGTTTTGCAACAAAACGGAGAGCGGAACTATAAAATATGACTACCTATTTTGGATGATGGATAGATATCATGGTGACACCAAGTGTCTTTAAAGCTAACGACGTATGTATTTATAAGATTTGAGCAGTTCTCGTGTTAATATTATGAAGATGACACATGCAACGCAATACGGCCAAGTAAACATCTCTTCCACACAGACACACACACCCGCACGCATTCTCTCAAACATTAAAGCAAAAAGTGCAACATCTCTTATTTTGCAATCAGGTGATATGAAAATTAAAAAGAAAAGAATTACAAAAATAAATAATTATAACAATAAATATAACAACAACAATAATAGAAAAGATGATGATGATGAAGTTGATGACGACTGACGGTGTAATTCAAAGTATGTGTTTGTATGTATCTATGTAAGTAGGTAGTTTATTAATGAATATTATTATAATAATTATAAAGCAAATAAGTTTAAATCTCAGACTGTAAGTTCGAAATAGACACGAAGAAAAAGAAAACACAAAACAAAATATATATTATATATAAAAACAAAGAACAACAACAACAATAATAATAACAATGAAATATGAAAAAATAATCAAAACCCAAACTTCAAGTGAATCTAACATCCTAGACATAATAGTATTTTTTCCTTCCTTTTATGTTTATGTTCTTTTAAATTCCGTGTGATGTATTGAAAAATAGAGAACAAAGACAACACTGTCCAACAAGATGAATGTCAACAAAATGTTATGTAACATATATATTCGTACAATAGATTTTGAACATATGCAATTTAATTTTGAATTATTGTTCTTAATTCTATTTCAAATTCGAATGATTGACATATTCGTACAACAGATTTTGAGTATGAAATGTAATTTTAAATTATTGTTTTTAATTTTATTTCAAATTAGAATTATTTCTTTTTTTAACAAAATTATTCACTTATGGAATGAAAATCAATAGAATTAAAGACTTTGCTCGGGGTTTGTGAACTCGCTTAAATGTACATAAAGTAGGTGGTGATTGGTGATTATAAATAGTTTTAAAGTAATATTTTAAACAGATTTTAAGAATATTTTTTGTATATTTTCCTTTGCTCAAAATTTGGATTTCATATTCACCAATAGCAATTATTCTTTTTTTATTAATTTTGTTTTTCCATTAAAAATGTTGAACATCAGGCATCGATACCAATAACGTATTTCACGTTGCTATTGCGTTAAATTCACCGATTGATGTTTATCAATATTATTCAGATTTAAAAATGTAATTAAAAAAATATTGCTCCACAATTAAAGTTTATAGGCTTAGCTATTCTACTACTGTTCTATCTAACCAAATCTATTCCAAATAATTGTCGCACCATATTCATTTGCTTGCTATCGATTTGTTATCCAATTGATAGTTAATTCTTCAAATTATAAATATTACAATTTAATTTTTACAATTTATGCATTAATTTTAAATAAATTAGGTAGGCAATATAAGTTAAATACACATTCATCCTGTATTCCAAAGGTTACACATCTTTCACTCTGTCTAAAATTTACCCAAAAATATATAACCCATTTTCGATCATGTCTTATCACATTTCTTGCAAATCTCGATGCTGAGCTTAACGAAGATAGTAAAGGAAATATGAAGTAGGTTTCCATATACAGTCGTCCTTATATATTTTTTCATTGCTTTAACCATTGCATTAACCTATTCGAACATTGTTTTTCGTTGGAATAAAATGAAGAACAAGAAAAATCTTTTCTTCCAAAGAGGGCTGCTAGAAAGCAACGATGGGAAAAAGCCTTTGGCGCCTCGAAATCTCTTAGAAATGTTACTGGAAAATTAGGTTTGCAATAATAGTCTTGGTAGAATTAACCTATTAGAACAAAATAACGAATAAAAAATCTTTTCTTCTAAAGAAGGCTGGCAGAAATTTCTTAGAAAATCTATTGGCAGATTTGGTTTGCAATGTATGTATACAGGTTGCTTGTAGACCTACGTTTTCTAAAAAAAGTAAGTTAAATTTGTAATCATCATCAAAGTTGTAACAAAATACTGAGATAAAGGAAAAAAGTACAAACAAAAAATAAATAATTTTTATAAATCGAATCTAGAATAGGTAAAGAATACAATAGGTAAAGAATACAAAAATCTTTTCTTCCAAAGAGGGCTGGTGGAGAACATACGATGCGAAAACAACCTTTTATGCCTCGAAATTTCTTAGAAAATCTATTGGCAAATTTGGTTTGCAAACAGAAAACAGCTTTTGGTGGCTCGATTCGATGCAGGTTGCTTGTAAATCAGCTTTTTTTTTAACAAAGTCAGTTTGTTATCTTTATCAAAATTGTATGAAAATACTGAGATAAAGGAAAAAGTACAAACAAAAAATAATTTTTCAAAATCGAATCTAGAATCATCCAATAGGAACTTAATAAAGTATACAAAAATCTTTTCTTCCAAAGAGGGCTGGTGGAGAACATACGATGGAAAAACGACCTTTTATGCCTCGAAATTTCTTAGAAATCTTATTGGCAAATTTGGTTTGCAATTAATATAGGTTGCTTGCAAATCCGCTTTTTCTAACAATGTCAGTATAATTTGTTATCTTCATCATTGTAGCAAAATACTGGGAGAAAAGTAAAAATACAAAAAAAAAAAATCAAAATCGAATCTTTAACTAACCAAATGGAACTTTATCTTTCTTTGGTCGACAAATTTGCAGCTGAACATTGGGAAAAAAAATAAAAATAAATAATATTTTCTTCAAAAAAAGGCCTAGTAGAAAGAAAAAAAGCCATTTCAAATATTCGGTACCTCGAAATCTATTAGAAATTTTAATGTACAATAAACAATTTTTTTCAAAAATGTTATCTAGGGTCTCAAGAAAGCGGCCAACAAATGTTAGTGAGTAAAATAATAGTCCTATGAACTCTTTACATTTTTGGAAGTAATGTTTGTGGAAAGAAGTAAATGTTCTTTGCCACGTATGTGGATGGATACCAGTTTGCTCGTAAATCAGCTTTTTCTAACAAAGTCAGTTTGAAATCTTCATCAAAATTGTGACAAAAAACTGAGAGAAAAGAACAAGTAATTTTTTTTAAATCGATTCTAGAATCATCCAACTGGAACTTTATCTTTCTTTGGTCGACAAATCTGCACCTGAAGAAAAAAAAATTCTTCAAAACAAAAAAAAAAAAAAAAAAAAAAGAGACTTGTGGAGAACATGTAAAATATGCGTTGTAGAAAATATGAAAAAAAATAAATGTACAAAAAACAAATTAAAAAAAATTTATCTAGGGTCTTAAGAAAGCGGCCAAAAATGTTAGTGACTAAAATAAGAGTCCTATGGACTCTTTAAATTTTTGGAAGTAAAATTTGCGGTAATGCATTGAAATGTGAATGCTTTAGCATTCCTTTTGTAGAACTAAGTTTTGCTTCAAATAATTTGATATATTTTAAAATAATGACCAATAGATTCATTCATATGATGTTCTGAAGTTTTTTTTTTTTTTATGAAAATATAAAACATCTACCATCTTTGTGAAGAGATTTTATAAGGATAAGATAGTGACTAAAATAAGAGTACCATGGACTCTCTTAATTTTTGGAAGTAAAATTTGTGTCAAGGCAATAAAAGTTCTTTGACACGTATGTCGACGTGAATGCTAGAGCATTGCTTTTGTAGAACTAGGTTTTAATACATATAATTCTATACATTTCAAAATAAGGGTGTTCTGACTATAAAGCATTGTCTTACCACATTTCCAAAATTTCAATTGGTTTCATGAAAACTACAGATTTAAACAATTTCAAAAATTGTCGATCTGTCTTTGCAACCTTCTGATTTTTTGCATTCACGAACGTGCTAATCATGACTAAGTAGAAAAGGCTTTTGGACGGTTTTATCCCAGAATACGAGTGCTTCTTGACAATTACAAGCTGCAAATTAAGTTATTTATATTTCAAGGTACAAATTTTTATAACATGAAAATTTATTCTACTAAATCTTATTGTAATTAATTATGTACTGAAATTTTTTCGGAGCAGGTTATACAAAAATATAACGTCTACCATCTTTAAGAAGAGATTTCATACGATTCCAAAAGGATTAGCTATTTTTTCCATCATTTATACTAGTACTTTCAACGAGTCTAGCTAGCAACAAATATGTTAAAGGTTCCATGTTTTTGGGCTTAAACTTTAAATTTTTTCTGCGGTTTTGTGTTGTAGTTGTTTTCTTGTTTTCAAGACTTGCCCAACACCAGCAACATATAAATAGGCTCTTTTCCAAAAAAAAATTAATTAAAAGAGTGGGATATATTAGCCTAATGCTTAATTTTTTAATGCAGTTGTACCATTCTGGGGATTCGATTAGATTTTTCAAATGGGTTTTTTTAACAAATAGCATGAAACACAAAACTTCCACACAAAAAATCCATGGATATTTTTCGAAAAAGTTGTAATCGAGAGTTAGTATAAAATGAATTTTGGCTTCATTTCTATAATTTTAAAGCCAAAATTGCTAATATTGATAATCACAAGTTTTGGATTTATTTAATTTTAATTTATACAGATTTATATCTTTATATACACTTAACTTCTTGTTGACAAACAGACAGAACAAATTTATTCGCCTTGTTGTACAGTGTTATCAAACGAAAATAAACATTTTTACACTAGAATCACATTCTCTATTTTATTATATTATTAATTAATAATTTGTTGTTTTAACTGTGAAATATAACTACTTTTTTTCTTCTTTGTCGCATCCATTGTCCTCTTCAATATTTTAACACATCGTTTCGTTTTGTTATATAAGTGTTTAGTTTTAAGTAATTGCATTGCTAGTTTAACTAGAGTTTATAAACTAATCTACATTTATTTTTGTTTTAAGTCTTAGTAGTTAAATTAAAATATTAATAATAATAACAATAATGAGCACAGTTGTGAAAATCAAACATTGAAACTGTAAAGTTCAAATGTTAAAAAAGAAACAAACAAAGAAAATATTATACTAATCATAATTCCAATATTAGGAGGGAAGTTATTATTTAATTTGGCCAAGTAAAACCGATGAAGCGTCATTTTGTTCTTTTGCTAAACAAAAAGAAAAAAAAAACACACACACATTGTTGAAAACCCATGAAATTGCTGTGAAGAAAATATGATACCAATAAAAATTAATAAAATCTGTTGGCAAAACAAATTAATATTCTATTTTAATAATCAATAATGATTTGTAAATTTATAGCTAATTTTAAGTCTTCTTAATTTCAAGTCATTAACATCATGAGGGTTATTTTATAAAAAGTGAATAGTTATCTAATACAATCGTCGCATTAAATTCTAGGGTTAGAAATTTAAATTCACAATAGTTTGTATTAAAAAAATAATGGACTTTCCAGATCTTAATAAAGGTTTTCAAATACATCCAATGCTATCTGAGTGTAGAAAAGCTATTCTCCTAGACTTTTAATGGGTTATTAAATCAGATTCTACAGATCATAATAAATTATATAGAAAGCTAATATTTTCCAGAACTGCTAGAATGTAAAAATGCTTAATACGATAAAACATTTATTATACCCTCAGCTACGTCTCTCATCGAATTAACGGTTTTAGACCCTAGGTGTCTTTGGACCAAATCTGTTTTAGGACATTTGAAGTTGATTTAGCTATGTCCGTTCGTCTGTCTGTCTGGCTGGTGCGTATGACGACTCTCGAAGGGAGTATTCGATTTGATACAAACTTGGTACATCGTAATACTATTCTCAAATTTAGATCGAGTTCGGGGATGGGCAATATCGGCCCACTCCTTCTGGTAACTCCCCCACAAAATGTCAAAAATTTCAAAGAAAATAATTTACTGTACAGAAGGAGAAAAGATAATCCGATTTTGCTCCGACTTTGCATATCCCAAGATTTGCATCAACGCTAAGTCAGGTGCGAAAATGGAAAATATCGGTCCACTCCATCAAATACCTCCCCCACAAAGGGTCAACATTTTGAATAATTATAACTCCTTTAAAATGTGATGTAAGAGTCCTCAAATTACACACATCACAATATTTTTATTAACCCAAGGTCTGGTGTGAAGATGGAATATATGAGTCCACTCCTCCTGGTATCTCCCCCACAAAGGGTCAAAATTTTGAGTATCCATGAAGCTCAAAAAACGCGAAATTAACACCCGATTCCATTCAGATTTGGTACATCTCAATATTTCCATCAACACAAGATCAGTTGTAAAGATGACAGAGATCGGACCATTCCTTCTGGTACCTCCCCCACAAAGGTTTAAAATTTTGAATAACTAAAACGATCATAAAATCCGAAATAAGCATCCGGTTGTCTTCAAATTACACACATCACAATATTTTTATAAACCCAAGGTCTGAAGTGAAAATAGAATATATCGGTCCACTCCTTCTGGTACCTCTCCCACACAAAGGGTCAAAATTTTGAGTATCCATCAAGTTAATGAAACACGTAATTAACATCCGATTCAATTCAGACTTGGTACATCTCAATATGTCCATATATATAGATCGGACCATTTTTTTTGGGACCGCCCCCACATAGGGTTCAAGATTTTTAAAAACAAAACGCTCAAAGAAAGCGAGATAAGCATCCAAATTTCTTCAATCTGTTGTGAAGATATGATGTATATGATGCGAACCTCTTCTGGTACCGCACCCACAAAGATTACTATTTTCAATACTTATATCTGTTATAACTTGCGAAACAAGTTGGCGATTTTTACAACTTGCTGTATCTAAATATGTTTCATTTCATTTCATTTCATTTATTTCATACAATTCAATATAAATAAGCCAACATGGCCAAAATCTTATATTAATATGCAACAGTATAAACACAGCCTATAACTATATTAACATAAAAAAAAAACCTTAATACATAACAACAAATTTACAAGAATTATACAAATTATATTTATAAACAAAATACTTTAAATAACAATAATCAGACCCTCAGACACAACTTCTCCACCAAGCTGAACAACAGTTAAGCAAGGCAGAGAGGAAAAATGCAAGAGGCATCCATACCTTAAGGTGCTAACCATCACTCGCTTCAAATCGAGCAAATGTAGCAGCTACAAGCATAAGAACGAAATTCTTACAAAAGAGAAAAGAAAAATAAAATAATAACGTTACTCAACAGAAATTAAACAACCATAAAAATGGCCCCCCAGCCAATAACTAAAAAGAAATAACAAAAATAACCCGCAACCAGAAACTCAATGAACAGACAAATATTCAAAACACCTCTTCCTGTATGTATTAAAATAGTAGGTAAAATTACGTAGGGTCAGAGGCAACTGATTCCACAATCTCGCAACTCTCACAATAAACGCCTTTTCACCAACTAAAGACGAAAACCTCGGAAGTAGCAATTGCGGATTCCGAGATGATCTACAAAACACAAACTTATTATATAAAGGAGAATTAACATTAATCATAATCCTGTACTGACACAAAAGTAGGCGATACTCAACATATCTGTCAAAAGACAGACCAAGAAACTTAATAACATACTGTGTTACATGATCACTACGGCGCAACCCAAACACATACCTAACAATAGAGTTAACAAGTTTGCGCACACGCAAAATTTGGCAAGCATTGGTTCCAGAAATTACCTCCAAACAATAGTTGACATGAGACATTAATAAGGATCTGGCTACCATCATCCTAACACCAAGAGGCAAGTGAGCCTGAAGACTATAGAGCCTCCTAAGCTGAAAACGCACACGAGACAGCAATGAATCAACATGCGCAGAAAAATTAAGCTTGGTGTCAAGGACTACACCTAAACATCTCATCTCATCCAAAACATTAACCACAAAAGAGCCAACACAGATGCACGGCATAGGAACATTACGAGGACTATTAAACAGAAGAGCTTCGGTTTTATTCCAATTGACAGACAAACCATTAGAGGAGATCCATGCAGAAAGCAATCCCAACGTAGTGTTTGCCACATTCTGCAACTCAAAGAGATCTGCACTTCTAAAGAAGACATGAATGTCATCCGCATACATGAAGACCTCACACGCAGAATTAGGTACGGAACCCATAATATCATTAATGAACATTATAAAAAGCAGAGGGCCAAGTACAGACCCTTGCGGGACACCACACCGAACAGCACAAACATCAGACTCAACACCCCTGTGCACAACAAACTGAGATCTCCCACTCAAATACGACGATATCAATCTACATGATGAAGAAGAAAAACCAAATTTGTCTCTCAGCTTATAAAGCAGAAGCGCATGATCCACGGAATCAAAGGCCTTAGACAAGTCAAGGCCAACGAGCAAACCAACATCAGAACCATTGAACACATCACGAATGAGATCAGTGAGGGCTAAAAGATGAATAGTGGTGCTAGAACCACGCCGAAATCCAAACTGAGAACTACTCAAATATCTATGGTCATCCAGAAACTCCACAATAGCATCCTTAATTATATGCTCAACTATCTTCGACATAGCCGGCAGGATGCTTATAGGTCGAAGATTCGTCTGCTGATAAGAACTCCCCTTCTTCGGCACAGGCACTACACGAGCAACCTTCCACGCAAGCGGAAAGGTTGACGTCATAAAAATACAATTTACAAAATGCAGAAAGTGAGAACAAATGTAAGGGAATACACATTTGAAGAACTTGATAGGTGTACCATCAACACCTACAGCATTTGACTTAACATTCCGCAAAGCACGCAACAAATCCTCCATGTACACACAGTCAAATCTAAAAGAATCAAAACCATTTGCCCCACTAACCACAAAATCCCGAGATGAAGTTAGATTACCAACACTACAAAAGTAATTATTAGCAGCATTGACATCAATAAATGGGACATCACAACCATCATCAAGACAACCAAACGACTTTAACGACTTCCATATCTGCACACTACTCATACGACCAAACATTTCCTCATAAAATTTCCTTCTTTCATTACGCATGACAGCCTTACAGCGGTTTCTGTACATACAAAATATTTGCCTGTTGCGAACCGTAGGACACCTACGCCACTCCAGATAAGCCTGATCCCTAACGTAACAAGCCGATTTCACCACATCCAACTCCAACCAAGCATCATTTTTTGGGCAAAAAGAACTGGTAGCAGTGGGTACGAAGGACAACAAATTTTGAAACAAGAAATCAAACAACGCCAACTGTTGGTCAACATCACTCGTAAGATACAGAGGACTAAAATCAAAATTGCAGACATAATCTTCCACACCCCGCCAGTCGGTCCTACGAAAATCCAGGAATTCAATAACTTTTTCTTCGGCAATAACCGGGAGTTCAACACCTCCAAAAATCAACGCATGGTGAGAAATACCAGGACACTGCCCCTGCAAGGAAAAATTCAAAGCCAAGGTCTCAGAGACCAGGCAAAAATCAATCAATGAGGTGGTGCCACGAGCAACATCCAGGTGCGTCGGACAGGAATTGTGCACAACATAAAGCCCAAGAGATCTACAAAGTGTTCGCATCGATAAAGAATTTAATGGTTTAAACAAATTGCAGTTAAAATCACCACAGACAACAATGTTCGTATATGAGACAAAAATGCCCTCATGAATAAAACGAAATGAGTCAACATCCCCACGAGGTAAGTAGACGACAGTAAAGAGCACTGTAGTGCTCCCCAGTAAAAGCTCCACAGACAAAGACTCACACACACCATAACTCTCCGAACGATAAACCACCTTATACGACAAATTATCACGCACATATAGCATAACACCTCCACCAATACGGCCAACACGGTCATTACGCAGAACCTTGTACCCCGGAATCCGCAACGACCTCGAAGACACCGCAGGGTTAAGCCAAGATTCAGTCACTGCAAAAACATCAATACCACTACCAACAAGCATACATCTCATCTCATCAACCTTATGATTATATCTAGACGGTCGCAAGCTCTGACAATTTAAGTGCCCATACGCAAATTTACCATGGAAGCCAGAAGAGACACGCCTGAAAAATTGAGCATCCCTGATCACAGGTCCAAGATTCCCATCAAGGGACATAGAAATAAAAAAAAAGGCTGGGGAGCATAGTTATAGAAGTTAGAAAAGTCATGTAAAACAATAAAATAATAATAAATACTATATAATAAAAATATAACAAAATAAATATATATTAAAGGGAAAACAAAGGCAAATCTTTTTTATATCAAAATGTCACTTGCCCCAAGAAAAATAAAAAAAAAAAAAAAAAAAATTCAAAAATACTGAGATCAACAGAAACTAGCATACCTTAAAAGTCTAAAGAATCACCATCACCAACCAGCAAATCCAACTAAACGCCACCTACTGCACACCGAGATCGATTGGCCAATTCAAACAGCTCACATTGTTCAAACATAGTTTTCACTCCATCAGGGAGAATTACTTCAACCAAAGGCTGGTCCC